GGCGAGTCCCAGCCCCCGAGTGGTGCCCGGGCCACTTGCGTCGCTCATGCTAATGCGACGTCGGCGGGGCGGGGGCCGGGGCGGGGCGTGGCCGGGCAGGGGTCTGCTTCCCAGATGCGCCAGGGTTGGGAGCCCCGGGAAGGGGTCTGGGTGCAGGAGAGTCCTGGACGAGCCCTTGGGGTGCTCAGCGCGAGGCGCGGGTCCTCCACCCGACCCCCAATCCTTGCCCCCTCCCGCTTCTAGGACCTGCGGGTCAACGCCCACTCTTCTCCCCCTGCGAAAGGGGGCGGGCAGCCGGTTCCCCGCGGCCCCTCGGGAGGGGGGAGCCGGGTGCTTGAAATCTCCGCCTCAGCCTGGATCTCGGCGCACAGCGGGCAAGGAGCCCCCGAGGTGAGCCGCGGCTGCGCCCATCTGTTCTCGCAGCTGGATTTCGGAGCCGCTACCCGAGGGGTGCTGGGCGCAGACCTCCCCCCCGCCTTTTCTCTGGCCCCACCTCCTGGCCCTTTCCGCCCCCCACAGGAAGGGAGGGGAAGGCTCAGAGACTGCGGGGCCCGATTCCGGACAGACCAGCCCTTCAGCAGAATATCGCAGCAGTGAATTCCCAACTGTGAGCATGTGGAGGTTGAGGGGAGAAGTTACCTCGCCCCCATTAGGGGTCCCGAATATCAGCCTGGTCCCCTCCACTTTCCCGCACTGCTTCTCCACACTCCCCTTGCCTGGACTCCCCTTTCCGCTTTAACTGTCCGGGTCCTCCAGCTCCGTCTCTTCTACCTTCCACCCGCCTCACCCCTTCCCCACTCTACCTCCCAGGCACTCTTCGAACCAGACCAGGTCCTCCCTTGGCTCCTGCGAGCCTCCGCCCACTCTTCTACACCCTACCTCCCTCATCTCCAGCGCCATTTCCAAGCTCTAGATGGGCTCGGGAGTGATGTGGCTGGTGTCCCCTCTTGGAGATGTAAGAAACCCCGCCTGGGTGCCTCCGACCTCCCCCGCCTCCCCCCACAGGGCCCAGCAGCGTTGCTGTCTTCAGAGGCTCAATCAAAGGAGGCTCACCTTCCGAGAAGGCCGCTCGCTGAGGTGCCTGTTCTTCTCTGACATGCTGAGCTGCCTGGGCTGTAAGGCTGGCCTGACGCGTCCCCAGAAGAGCGTTGACCCTGACTGGCACATCGGGCCGTGTTCTGGTCTGCGGCCTGGAAGGAGCAAGGTTCCGAGGCAGCTGAGGTTGAAGGGACTTGTGTTGTTGAGATTACAGGTTCTGTCTCTCTTCTAGTGTCAGAGAGGGGCCTTCCCATCCTTCTGGCCTTAAAACAAACTAGTATCAGACCCAACTGCTTCTCCCACCGTGCCCCCCACCTCACAGGAAGCGCCAGGATGCAGTGCAAGAAATGTGGCTTTAGAGGCAGGCAACTAGACCTTACTAGTTCGGGTGCCTAGAGGGGAATTACGTCGCCTGTGTCCCTCATTTATTTTATCTGTAAAGTGGAGTAATAACAGTCCCTACTGCTTAGGATGTCCGCCACATGGTAAGAGCAGTGTAAGTGCTTGCTATGCTGTTATCCTCTGTAAAGTGTGCTGTTTTGTCTTCATTTCACAGTTGTGGATCTTGTGAAGAGCAGATAAAAGACATCAGGGGCACCTGGCTAGATGACTGGTACCTCTGTTTAGATGAGCATTGTGATTCTGATCTCTATCTGGGCTGGTTGAGGGCCCAGAGGGCACTGGAACATTGGCTTCTGTTCCTGAGAGAATTGTGGGATGAGTGGGTGGTGACCAGAGAATCATGGTGAGAGGCAGCCATCTGACCACCTGTTGCTCACTCCTTCCCTCCACCCAGGCATCCAGGAAAGGAGGAGAAGTCCATCCACTGTAGGAATTGCCAAAATCTGCCTTCTGTCTGAGAGAAGGAAAGAGCCCCAATATGGGGACAGGCCTGACTCTGGATGACCTTAGATGAATCACAGCTCTCTCTGGGCCCCAGCCTTGGCCTCCATCCAGTAAGGGTTTAGGTGAGAGCCTACTTACTCATTACAGCCCTCAACAGATGTGAGTACTGCAGAATAACTCTTTTAGAGTGGGAGAATTATTTTAAATTTAAAAATTTTAAATTTTATTTGCTGGTCTACATGCACACTCTCCACCTCATCCTATCCTTCCTCCAGCTGGCTTTGCACACTTTTGTCACCTGCTACCACTCCAGTCATTTGAGTTTGAGACCTCTGGACTCTTTTGACTCTCCCATTATGAGGCTTTTAAAGGTACAATCTTCTAGCCTACAGAGCAATGATTACTTATGCATATGTTCCCTGTCTGGTTAAAAAAAAAAAAAAGCAAGGGGAACTTGAGGTAGAAGTTTTTTTGCCTAGTGACTGAAGAACAGTGGACTCTTAGAGAAGAGACACTTTCCCAAGGTCTTTAGGGTGGAGATCCCTTCTCCTAGCACTCTGGTCCACATAGTTCATGACTGTTCCTGAGCATGAAGCCAAATTATTGCTGGGCTGCTGCCTAACTCTCCAGTCCTCCATTCCAGTATGGCAGGAAGAAGACTCATTTATTAAGCACTTGCTTTGTGTCAGAGGTGTTGTGTGTGCCATTTACTTCATCCTTCTGCAACTCTGGTGCAGTGTGGGCGCTAGTCTTTTGGTCTTACTGCCTGAGGAAGCTGGGCGTGGAGAAGCTAAGTCACTTGCCCAAGATCCCAGTAGCAGAGCCTGGATTTTAAACCCTAGCTCTGGGATCTGTTTTGTGATTCTCATGCTGCCTCCCTATCCTCTGTGCTGCATTGTGCTCCTGCTGCTCCATTTCTGAGGTGGCCACACCCTGGCAGCATAGAGGAGAGGGGCAGATCAATACACATGGAATGGAGGAAGGTCCTGGACTGGTTCCCTAAAGGGTACTCAGGTACACTAAACCTTCTTATGCCCCAACTTCCAGATTAAAAAGCAACATCCAAAGACTGGGGTGCAGTGGTCACAGGGAGGCAAGGGTCTCCATCAGCAAAATGCAATGACAGGCCTGAGCCACAGGACCTGGAAAGAATCTCCATTCCTGCCAAGGCTGCGAGGAGCTGTCCAAGGTCCTAGTCTTGGCTTTGGCCATGTGGGCCCCGCCCCTCAGCCTTCCTGTTCCCGTGGCTTTATCCACACCTGAACACTTGGTAAATTCCTTTTCTGAGATGCCTTAATCTGAGCATAACTTAAAGGCAAGAGAACTCCCCATCCAATCCTGTAGGAGAAAATGGAAACATGTTTCCCTCCTTTCTCAACCAGATATAGCAACTGTTGCTACAGGGTTCATATCTGGCACTCAGTGTAAGAAGAATGAGTGAATGAAGGAATTTATTTGCTAGACACACAGAAGTACTTATAATGTGGCACTGTTCTAACTATTTTATTTTATTATTTAGTTTTTTTTTAGTCGAAAACTCGCTCTGTCACCCAGTCTGTAGTGGCATGGATCACAGCTACCACAGCCTTGACCTGCTAGACTTAGGTAATCCTTCTGCCTCAGTCTTCGAAGTAGCAGAGACTACAGGCACATAGAGACAAGGCCTCGCCATGTTGCTCAGGCTGATCTTGAACCTGGGCTCAGGCAGTCGTCTTGCTTTAGCCTCCCAAAGTGCTGGGATTACAGGCATGAGCCACTGTGCCTGTCCCTGTTTTAAGCGTTTTATAAATATTAACTCATTTAATCCTCCCACCAACCTTTATATTACCTTTTGATAGGCAAGGACACTGAGTAATTTATTCACAGTCAGAGAGCTCACAAATGGTGGAGATAGGATTCAAATACAGGTGATCTAGCTCCAGTGTCCAGCTCTCAGCCACTGATGAGGTGGCTTATTTGAAAGTATCTAGTTAAATACCTGATACTTAGCAGGAGCTTAATTTGTATTATTTTGTATGTAGAGAGACAGCTTGGTGATTCTGGTAACAATTTTTCTTTTCATTTTATTCACTTGGATTCAACTGTGTGTCCACCGTCTGATAGAATAAAGCCTTCTCATACTGGACCAATGCCATAGGGGAGCTTGTTGGAGATTAGGGAGCCCTGGTGATGGGAGTTTGGAGATGGGGGTTTGGAGAGCCATCCTGCACCAGTGCGTGGGTGAGGTGTGGCATGGGGGGAGGGGCTCTTGGGTGGGTTTGTGTGTAGAGTGTACTATTGTGAAGGGAGTTGCCAGCCCAACCTGGCCTCACTTCTGAGAAGGTCACAGGGCCATGTTCCTTCCAGGGCTTTGTCATTTGTGGTCTCACTGAGACATCTGGTCCTAGAAAAGTGAAATGACTGTGTTTCTGTGGAGAATAAGGTTAGTGTTGGTGGTGGTAGTGTGTGGGCGGGGTGCCTGCTGCTGATTTATTATCTCTTTGTCTCCCTGGAAGCACTTAAGTGCAGGCTTGGTTCCAGTGAAGCTCATGAGCCTCTTTGGATTCCAACACTGAGGGTGGGGGTGCAGTTTGCGCAGGCCTCTATGCTTCCTCCCCAGGCACTGCCTTGGGGCCTCAGCATCACTTAATTAACTTAGGTTTCCCCAGTCACATATTCTCAGATTCAAAGGAACAGAGCGGCCCCATGTCAGCCTTTCCCGGAAACCTGTGAGTCTGGTGGCTGGAAGCCAGAGAACTACGTGCCTGCCTGGCTGCCCTTGGCCAGCCTGTCTGTGGCGTCCAGACCTGCTTTGTTCAAAGCATAGCTGAAATTTATTGGGGGAAAGAAAGGGGTGGCAGCTTCTAATTTGTGGATGAACCTCAGGACTCCCTTCTACAGCACTCAGATAGGGGATCTTGCTCACCTACTTTCACTCTGATTCCCTGACACTTCCTGTGAATTATTGGTGGAAGTACAACCTCTAAATCCCTTTGGTTTCTGCTCCTTCTGCTTCCTTCCATCCCAATTCTGTGAGTATCTCAGGTTTATTTCCCTCCTCCACTGAGACCATCCCCTGCTGGCCCCCAGCCCAAACCCCCCATCTTCCCC